AAATAACTTTTTTATTTTAACATATATTAAAATGTAATTAATTCTTGTGATGGTAAAGCTACATTTTCAGCAGCCATTATTCCAGTTTTCAGTGATCCTTCAGAAATCATTCTAGTATGATTTGGTGCTCAAGAAACATTTCTTATTATTAACAATGTTGAAACCAGTTGTGCTGCTTAAAATTTTTGTGGAAAATGTCATACTTCTGTTTTTTTTAAGGATTGTTTGATGAATAGGAAGTTCGAAAAGTACAACATTTATTTGAAATAGAAATGTTGTAAGATTATAAAGGCCACATTTTATCAAGTTAATGCACACTTGTTGAATAAAAGTGTTAATTTATTTTAAAAAATATTACTGATTTGGTTTTGAATGGTTTTAAATCTCCATCAGTGTACATTTTTCATCATTTCTATTATTCCAGGCTTTACATTTCTGATGATTGAAACTTTTTGTCTTGTGTTTACGTCTCCTCTTGAATGGCAGGTATCGGGAGGCCATTGAGAAGTGTGAATCTGTGATGCGAACAGAGCCCAATGTGGCATTCTACACTAATAAAGCAAAAGAGAGGATCTGCTTCTGCTTAGTCAAAGTAAGTTCATTCATTTACAAAATGTAATTTAGCTATTTTACAGCTTTTTAAGGGGATGAAAACCCCTCTAGTCTAGCTGTCCTGGTAATCGTCATTTATATGATATGTGCACTTTCACACCGTTAGAGGTTAATAAGAGTAAGAACATCAAGAGTCTGGTTTTGGTGTCTAGCCTCTCTGGTTATGGTTTCCTCTCCCTCTCTCTTGTGACTCCTACAGATGAAGAGTGCTGAGGAGGCCGTAGACATTTGTTCAGAAGCCCACCAGAGAGAACCTCAGAATATCCACATCCTCCGGGACCGAGCGGAGGCCTACATCCTACAGCAGGAATATGAGAAAGGTAGTACAACACTCATCGACTACAATATAATGTACCGGATATTCTAACCTTTTCATTTCGTTTGCATAAACTCATGTTTCTTCCTCTGTTCCTCTTCTCAGCTGTGGAAGACTATCAGGAGGCACGGGAGTTTGATCAGGAAAACCAAGAGCTTCGTGAAGGTCTTGAACGAGCACAGAAGCTCCTCAAGCAGTCTCGCAAGAGAGACTATTACAAGATCCTGGGGGTCAGCAGGTAAAGCAATGACTGATGATTGAAATCCTGCCTTAAATCGTTGGCAGACAGTGTTACTACCTTAACTGTTTCTGTCCTGTTTTATGGGAATAATGCAGAAAATCTGGTCAAAGGTTGTTGCTGGGGCACCTGCAGTAGTAACAATGTATGTAGTGTGCATGCATGTTTGTGTAAGTCAAAAGAAGGTGGTTTGACTGAAATGCTTGTTTCTTTTCACTTGTTTTCAGGAGTGCCAACAAACAGGAAATCATAAAAGCGTATAGAAAGCTGGCTCAGCAGTGGCATCCTGATAATTTCCAGTCTGAAGCAGACAAGAAAGAGGCAGAGAAAAAGTTTATTGATATCGCATCAGCAAAGGAAGTGCTCACCAATCCAGGTAGGAAAATATCAGATGACAGCAAAAACTAAATAAAACATGAAGTCAAATTATTATCAGTCTGTTATAAGTCAGTTATTGAACATTTCTATTGTCAGTCAGTTTTTTTTGGAACATTTTGTTTCAGCTTGTTTTATCGCTGGATGTACATTACTGGTCAAAAGTGTGCTGACCAAGGCTGCATTTATTTAATAAAAAATGTTTGAAATATTATTACAATTTAAAATAACATTTTTCTATTATATTTTTCTAATATTATCAATATTGAAACCAGTTGTGCTGCTTAACATTTTTGTGCAAACCGTGATACAGTACCAAGTTCAAAAGTTTGGTGTAAGTACGATTTAAAAAATAAAAGAAACTAATTAATACTTTTATGCATCAAGGATGCATTAAATTGACCAAAATTGACTGGATTAATGGCTACTGAAATTTCAGCTTTGCATCACAGGAATAAATTACATTCTAAAATATAGTACAAAAGAAAAAAATATTTCAAATTATAATGATATTTCACAATGTTAATGTTGTATTTTTTGATCAAATACATTCAGCCTTGTTGAGCATTAGAGGCTTCTTTCAAAAACATAAAAAAATCCTAATAATTAAGTGTGTATGAAGATTAACTTCAAATTTATGCATTCTTATTTGTTGTTTTCTGTACAGAAATGCGTCAGAAATTTGATTCCGGCGAGGACCCTCTGGACCCTGAGAATCAGCAGGGTGGAGGAGGAGGCAGAGAATGGCCCTTTGGCTTCAACCCCTTTGAGGGCGGAAACTTTCACTTCAAGTTCCACCAACACTGATAACAGAGGCTGATGCAGTATAAACAGACAATGATTTGAACTAAGAAACGTGGCGAGAGAACCTGCTTTATCCAAACTGAACTTTGGAGGAATCTTATCAAACAGAGTTTTTTTTTCTTTCTTGTTTTTGAGACTTGAATCCACAGGCTGTTGGACTTCTCCATGAGCAAATTACTTGATCTGGCAAACACTTAGTTTAGTGTTTGATTTCCTGTCCTTAAAGACTTAAACATGGAGTCTAGTTGAACTTGGAGTCTTAAAGGATTAGTTCACTTCCAGAATGAAAATTCTGTCATCATTTACTCACCCTCCACTTATTCCAAACCTGTATTGAGTTTCTGTCTTCTGTTGAACAAAAAAGAAGATATTCTGAAAAATGTTGGTATCAGAAAGAGTTGATGAGCATAGTATTTTCCTGCTATGGAAGCAATGGTGCTCATCAACTGTTTCTGATGCCAACATTTTTCAGAATATCTTTTTTTTGTTGTTCAACAGAAGACAGAAACTCATACAGGTTTGGAACAAGTGGAGGGTGAGAAAATGATGACAAGATATTCAATCTGAAAGTGAAGTAATCCTTTAAACCCATTTTTATCTTTCTTTGATGTATGTGCCATCTCAAACATTACTTTCGCATACTGTCTAAACCAGGGGTGCCCAAACTCGGTCCTGGAGGGCCGGTGTCCTGCAGAGTTTAGCTCCAACTTGCCTCAACACACCTGCCTTTAAGTTTCTAGTATGCCTAGTAAGAGCTTGATTAGCTGGTTCAGGTGTGTTTAATTGGGGTTGGAGCTAAACTCTTCAGGACACCGGCCCTCCAGGACCGAGTTTGGACACCCCTGGTCTAAAGGCCCGTTCACACCAAGGACGAAAACTATAAAGATAACGATAAAGATATAGTTCTAAGAATCGTTCTCAATATTAAAGAATAGCAGAGTCCACACCACAACTATAACGATAAAGACAAAGAGAAACCATATCATTGGAATCACTTTCAAAATGATTTTTTCCAGCTGATGAACGATAAAAAATTGACAGCCAATCAGAATCCATCCTGCTGTAACGAGCTCGAGAATTTAAAGCGGCAGATGAGCGTGCACTTAGAATAAACAGACGATATCGTTCACTGGTGTGGACGCTAATATCGTTATCTTTATAGTTATCGTTCTTGGTGTGAACGGGGCTTTATGCCTTCTTTTTGTTTTTTGAATAGCACTCCAGAATTTAGGGTTGTGGTTTCTTTTAGATTGTGCCATGTACTTCTGACACCAGTATGTCATACATGCCAGCAGCCTTGAAATAGATAAAACAGTATTTCACGCTTTTTGGCAAAGGAAGTACCTTTTCATATATCTTTGTTAAATTTTTTTTTTTTTTTTACACACCCAACTGCATAAAACCACCAGAAACGACCGTGCCCTTGGGCTGCTTTATAGCCTGACATTTGATCTGATACCAGTTTTGCACAATAGTTTTTTACTGATCTTTGCTAAAAGTTTACATGACAGAATGTTTATCATTGTACAGCTGTTGCTGATGATGAATCAGATGGCAGTCTATGAAGCAGCCTTTATTTGATTTAATTTTCTTTTGTCTAATCAATCAACAATATGTCCCAGAACAAAGCTTTGAAACTATCACGTAAACTTAATGAGTTACCCCTGCACTTTCTAAATTCGAGTTGAAGGTCAATAAAAAAAGAAATCACTAGCTATTTGAAAAGAAATGGAAAAAAATAAAACGTATTATTCAAAAATTCATGAAAAGCGGCAAACGATATTTAAAAGGTTTGCAGGTATTTTGGGTATATGCTTGTTAGGTTGTTCTGACATGCCAATGCAATGTCTCCTTTGACCTTGCTGATGTTAAGGACATGGGTCTTCCTAATGTTTTATGCTTGTTTTTATTTGTTTTGTTTTAAGATAAACAAATTCATGAAAATCTCCAAGATATACTGTATTTAAAAAAAAAGAGAGAGTATTTAAGACTCATTTGTCAAGTGTCTTTTATCATTTATTAAAGAAGACTTTTTTTTCCCAGGATAAATGTATGGAATTGAAAGTCAAGGCAAGCATCACATTTACTTTTATTTAAGGGTTAGAGGTTCCGCGTATTTCTTTCTTTCTTTTTCCTCTTTCTTTCTTTATTTTGTACTTCTACCCAAAGGGTGAAAAAATATGATGGAAAAAAATAAATCAAACACAAAATACACAATAGCCTACAGAAGTATACTATAATGGGAAATCTTGTAAGCAAAACATAAAAACTAATGGGAACCATTAGTGCTCATGACATTGAAATGAAAGCATTTCTTCATCTGTTACGTTCATTTTAATTTACTAAAATATTATTATAATCAAAATGTGTATTTCTTAATATAATTGAATGGACATGGGTTAATTTGAACGAACTAATACATTAACTAACGTGGTCTAATTATGAAGTTTTACCAAACTTGTTATGGAAAAAAACCGCGCTACTTTTTTCAGGGCTTCCGTAGGTTGCGCGCTCCTCTCCCTGTGCTTCGGTTACCACAGCAACCAATGAGCTTGTGAGCGCCTCGCAAGTAACAACAACCAACTTCTACAGTGACTGAATGCTCTTTAAATCGTGAAAACAGTTTTATTTCTCCAAAATAGGAGTTTTGTTAAAATGCGGCACCCCAAGTATTTCACGCCGAAGGAGGTGTCCGTTCACAACGCTCTCAAAGATATATGGGTGTCGTACCTGGGCAAAGTCTACGATCTGACACCGCTGCTGGAGGAAAATAAAGGCAAGTAACTTGCACGTATTATGTTGTCCCCAAACTTTTGCAATGTAGTATGTATTAACTGTTTATTAAAAGCAGTATCTCTCTCTTATAGGTGATGTGTTATTGAAACCTATCACAGAGTGTGCAGGAAAGGACATCAGTCACTGGTTTGACCCAAAGACAAAGGATGTAAGCCACTGTATAACATTTGCAAAACTTATTGAAAGTATATTTTAATATCTTTTATGTAATTTAACAAAACCAAGGACTATACAGGAAAAACTCCTGCAGGGCACACACAAATAACCTTTTTTTTTTTAATTTGTAAAAATATAGTATTTGCTTTTTAGTGGTTTTTTTTTTTTTTTTTTTTCAAATATTTTTTCATACTTTTAATGATCATTTCAAAGATAAGAACCGAAACTAAAATATATATATTTTTAGTCTTGGGGAAAGTTACTTTTAAAAGTAATGCGTTACTTTACTAGTTACTTAAAAAAGTAATCTGATTACGTAACTCGCGTTACTTGTAATGCGTTACCCCCCAACACTGTCTATTTTTGAAAACTATTTCTCCATTTCAAAAAAGTATGTTTTTCCCTACTCCGAGAATAACCATATAATCAAACTAGGCTACTACTTTTTTTTTTTTTTGGGCAAAAAAGAAAAAATGTAATTTGTATCTAGTTGTTTTGTTAAAGTCACCATGAAATCAAAACTGACAATTTTTATGGAAAATTGCAGTATTTATTATAAACGTCTTTTCCATGCACATCATTATTTTTAATTCATGTGCCCATGTAATCTTTAATAATAATAATAATAATACAAAATAATAATAATAATAATAAAAAAAACATTAATATTTCCCTCTTTTTGCAATGATCTCTTCTCTAATAAGGTGTGGGCCAGCAACTTGTTACTCACACATGAGATGTTGATAATGTGGAAATGTGGCAATTAGCAAATGACAAAGATCCGGTCAATTCCCAAAGAACAAAATCAAGTCCCGCCCTACATTATTTTCTCATCTGAGAAGCCGTTTTACTTAGATATGTCACAGCACAGTAAGGGAAGAAAAGAAAATTTTCATTTCATGCCGACAATCTTCTAAATGACCAAACATGTTTTTACATGATTATGGGCTGATATTTTTGTTGATTCAGAGTGTTGTGTTTTTCCTTTTTAGATTCTTACACATGTTGACCCGTTGACTGGCTGCATTAAATACTACACCCCTAGGGGGCGCTTTTTACATATACCCCCTCCCTGCCCTCGCACTGACTGGGCCAATGATTTCGGGAAGCCGTGGTGGAAGGATAACCGCTACGAGGTTGGGCTGCTGTCTGCCAAAACACGCTGGATCCGCATTATCAACACTTTAACCTCCCAAGAGCAGAGGCTGGAGGTAGGCCAATATTAACCTGGCACAGAGTTGTAGAGAGCAGAACATGCTGACTCATCTGCAAAATGATTTCAGGATTGTGCCCCAAAAAGTGCTTATTAATTATTTAAGCCTTCCTGAGATAAAATGCCTGCACGGAGCACATTCCTTATGTCGGATTGCATGCTTGCACTGCGCCGCTGCATACTGAAGAGGGCAGAGTTTAACTGTTTCAATGCTTCGTAGCTCCTCTCCATCTTTTGATTTTGTCCTCCCTCCCACTCTGCATCTGATCCTTTTCCAGCTTGAAGGAAATGGACCTAATGTTGAGCCTCTGGCATTACAAGCATTTTCAGACTGACCGTGCTGATTCACTTGCTTCAGCGGCCACCAGGCTGCATCTTAAACTCTGTGCTCAATAACCATCTGGCAGTTTTCATTCAGCCCAGATACTTCTTTCTCTCCTTTCTACGGGCCAGCCCTGTGTCTTTCTGTAGGACTATTTATGTGCATTCACAAAATAAACATGTATTTGGAGCTCTTTTTAGCAGCCAAATAGTTCTAAGCTGTTGTTTTCTAAGCAGGTTTGCTCGGAGGAGACTCTGGAAGAGATTCTCCAGCGATACCTGTGCTACAATTCCCATGCAGCAAGCTACACCTGGAAGCACAATGGCGTAAATTTGGACATGAGCAAGACCCTGAGTGAAAACAGCATCCCTGAAGAGGATGAGTTTTACTGCGGAAGCCCAGAGTGTGACCTCTTCTCTCCATCCATATGTCTGTATTTCAACGACGACCTCACTGAACTCTAAAAAACACATGCTATTAATATGAACAATGGCATATAATTCATTAGAATATCCACTGCAAGCCGTTTTGAGCGAGAAGAATACACCACATCAACTATTCATGTGTTCAGTGTTTCATCGATTCCTGTCGGTGGTTATCTTATTGCAGCTCTCTGGGCTTCATCCAATCAAATGCTGAGCAACAGAATAAAAAAGATGAATGCCAGCCCACATAATAACCCCCTGAACCATAAAGTCTGGTGGTTGCCATGGTAATTGCTCGGAGGAAATGCAGCAGCTACTGTATTGTAGGCCCCAGCAGGCTCTCAACCCTAATTAAATAGCATTATATATGTATGCATGTACACAGAAATGATTTCATGCAGCCAACATTTCAATTTAATCACTGCTTTATGAGACTATGCCATTAACATCTGCAAACGTGCATCTTTTTGGTAAGCCGTTTAATTTGCCTGTGCGCTGTTTACTTGGTCTAAGGAGATTTTTGGGAATGTTTTTGTTCTGTGTGTTTAGGAAAGAACATCTAGAACGGTGGTTCTCATCCAGAGGGGCCGGGGCCCACTAGGGGGCCTTGACATTGCTTAAAATGATTTAAAATATGCTTTAAACAGCATTTTTTAAATTAGAAATGCTCATATTTCTCATTTTAATTCATTCCCTCGACACCTTTTTCTACAATCTTGGAAAACCTGGATTTATGATGAATGTCATGGACATTTCTAAAACAAATATACATTTTTCTAGTTGTCAAGCTCAAAAAATATTTTATTGGGTAGAAACTACTGATAAATCACTGTAAAAAAAAATAATTAAAAAAAAACAAATTATGTAAGGGGATTTTTTTATTGGGGGGGGTTGTTAAAAAATAAATATAAGGGCGGCCATCTTTGTTTCTCTGCCTTGTAGTGTAAAATATTCCAAAACGCCCCCACTTTTTGTGTGTCGATTTGAATATTAAATAAATATCATAATTAGGAAGGAATACACTTTTGGATCTCGCGGAACGGGGTCACCGACGGGAATATAATGTCCTCTCTTCTCCGTTCTTGTGAGGAAGATGAGGGTACAGCGGTTAATTCCGAGGGAGGAGATCTTGATGAAGAAGAAGAAGACGACGGAGACCTGGACGAGAACGCAAGCGACATAAACTCACCGGCGGCGCCTAGAGAAACTGCAGTAAGAGCCGCGCCAGGTACCGTACAGTCCGTGGGGTAACGTACAAAAACACTTCGAAACAACCGCGAATGCTCCCAAAACTGCTATAGCGACAGCTGCGCTACTGCATACTTCATTCTGGCTCCTCTAAAGCGGTTAGGCGTTGTGTACGCTTTATTTATCCGCGTGCATGTCAGCAAGGAGTTGCATAGAGTTTGGCTAAAGTTGACCGATCCCCCTCTCTCTGTCCCGTATGTGTCATTCAGCAGGTCTGTCATATAATGGTGCTTTTTCATCTCCAGCTGTGATCAGACAATGGATCATTAAGCCGCCACCATGTCGTTTTTTGTTTGCCCTGAAGGTTAAGTTACAGACTTAGCATTTAAGCAGATAAAGAAGAATATGACAATGCATTGATCTAAATGCGGGTCGGAAAGAGGCGTGAGCGTCAGGGCTACCGCTTTGATTGCGACAATGTAAATAAACTTGACCCGCCTGCTTCAGTACAGGGCAGAGATCTGTGTGCTGCGATGCTTTCACTTTGCAAAATGCCAATTTGTACAGTCACCAGCCCTCGGGCTGTTGTGAGTGTGTGACTGTGTCAATAAAGCGTTAAATTATTATGCATATTTATGGCTTGACATCAACAGATAGTGATGAGTCCAAAGTTTCCACTATTCAGTCGATTAATGTGCCACACTGCATTAAATGCCATCTTGCACAAAGCTTAGTTATAAACATGTTCCTTAAGCTGATGCTCTGTCATATTATTGAGAAATTCATTTTAAAAACAACTTATTTACTTAACTCTAACTTTTAATGCCACGCTATGCAACTGTGCTGATGTTTGTGGTCACATTTGGGGCCTTGCTTAGTGCGTAACCGCTGCCACGTGCATTCCCACAGTGCGAGTGAATCAGTTAGCACGCGCGTCCTGTCTCGCCCCCGCGACCTTCAGCTGCGGTTCATCTGGTGGTCTGCTCCCCGGGTGCAGGAGTTCACGACGAGGGGAGCATCAGCTCGGTTCGCGGCCTCTCAGTCTCCGAGCCCAGAGTGCGTGCTACTGCCGCCCCTGGCTGCAGCGCGCGGGGGAAAGGGCTCTGCCCGCGCGCTGCAGCAACAAAGACACAATCGAATCTAACTCGTTTATCGCAGCGCAATGGCGATAGTTCTGCGTTATCAGACATGATATGCTGATATGTCTGCATTCATACAAACAAGCTGTATCAGGATGAATGAAACGGTGTAGAAAGTTAGATGTACTTGTTACCGTGAGGAGGTATTTCTATCTTATCTGCCTTTAAAAATGTCTTTCTTTGGTGTAAACTAATGTAGTCAGGTTGATGTAGTCATATTAAATTATATTCTGGACTTGGTAATATTATGACCAAATGCACTTTTGAATTTAAACGGGCTTCTACACAGCTGCTTGCTTTAAATGAAAGACCAGATTGGTTTGGTTTCTTCTGAACGATTTTACATGGCTGTAGTCACATGACTAGAGCTGTTTAACTCCACTTTGCCCCTCTGAAAGATGATGTCTGTGTCAAAGCGCCTTTTATGGAAGCATGTCAAGCTTGTCATAGTGCAGGCACCTTATTTGGAATATATCATATGAACAGTTTTTAGCATATTTGTAGGTGACCTGACACCAGATTTTGATTGATTGCATGATGAAAGAAACATTATTTTCAACATTTTGTGAAAGAAAATTGGGTTGCTTATTCATTTAAGGATTCCTTATATATTTTACTTTTATTTAAATTACTTAAAGTAATTTCATCTATTCACACAGCGAGTTATGGAGTGCTGCATACAATATTGATCATCATCTTAAAATTCACTCCATAAATAGCTTTTGGAGAGTCGTAATTAGGTCATGTAGATAATCATGTTTGTGAGATTAATTCATTAAGTTCTACAGCTTAGTTCACGTCAGAAGTGGAATGACTTATATTTCCTGTGTGACAGTCTCGGTTTCTGCACCGCTCGTGTTGTTCAATAATTGAAGTGGGAAATGATTTGACGGATACCTCAGAGGGTTTGCGAAGAATTATGGTCACTTTCATTTCATCAGTCCTCCCATGTTCCCTCATTTCCCTGCATCTCTCTCATTTAGATGATGGCGATGACATTGGTGAGACATCGGACAGGGACAACCTGGGGAAAAAGAAACGAGGCCCTAAGAAAAAGAAAGAGACAAAAAAGAAAGACAAGGACAAGGAGGGGAAGATGGCCAAAGCACGCAAGCGCAAAAAAATTGTATGTCATTGATGTGTTTTCTATCTTAATGTTCAAATGCATCTTTTTCATTACACTTTTATTTAATAGCAATTTGCAAACCGTCAATTGACTATTAATCAAATTACAAATTGAATTGCAATTAGTCACATGCATCAATATTTTCTGAAAAGAGCCCCTTGAATGGAGATAATTATTAAGATAATTGCACTAATTATTATTATTTTTATAGTTCTTTTTTTTTTAAAAGTGAATGCATTATAGTGACATCTCTATTTGTTCTTGAGCTTGATTTGACTTTTTCTGTCTTTTGCAGGACAGTGACGTAGAAAGAGACTCAGAGCCAGACTATGCCGTGAACTCTGACAGTGCTGCCAGCGATTATGGAGGAGAGAAGAAAAAGAAGAAGAAACACAAGGACAAAAAAGAGAAGAAAACCAAGAAAAAGAAAAAAGACGATGAAGACAGCGCACACGAAGAGACCACAAAGGTTATCCTTTAGCACTGTCAATGCCTTTTCTCGTTCTGCCTGCGGAGTTGCATGCTATTTCCCATCAACTTTGCTGATACAGGTTGTGTGCTTCAGGGCTCGCAAAATCACTAGCCTGACATCCTGGGGCTGTTGTGTTTTCCAGTCGGACTACCAAAGTGCATCACCGCCATTTATCTTGAAATAAATCTTGCTATCTTGAAATGTAGTGAAATAAAATCCCTTCCTTGATTCACGTTGTTCACTCGCCTGTAGGGGTGAAACAGTTGATAATTTGCACGTGTTTCTTATGCCGAGTTCACACTGCACGGTTTTAGCCCGATTTTTCACTCGCCGACAGGTTTTGTGAAATCGCCGACAAATGCCCGAAATCGGAGGCAAATCAGTGCTCGTTCACGCGAGTGACAATCACGCAGTGTGAATTATCAAAGACGCGATCTGAGGGAATCGCCGATGCGTCGCCGACGTTGCTTGACCAGCCACAACATCAGCATAACAGTAACTGCAAAATAATTTACCTCCAACTCTCTTTCATTGAGTGTTCTTTGCAGAACACCCAATCCCTGTTCCCTGCATCTCCCTCCTGCATAATCTGTTTTTCTTTTTCTCCTTGTAGCTGGAAATCAGCTCACAGACAGTTTGCGGTCTAGTGTGAAAACAATGGCGATCCGACGAGTTTGAAAATCATTCAGTGTGAACTCGGCATAAGGGTGCTTTCACTCTTGGTTCGATTGCATGGTCCGAACCCGACTTTGATTGCTCCCCCCTCCTCCTGCCCCCGCTGGACTGTGTTCATATTATTTTATTTGGGTCCGAACTGCGGTTCGTTTGTGTCATCAAGCCAGCAGCTGTTTACCCTTTTGCTTAGTAATGACAAAGTCCCTTTGTTGCCTCTCGGGCATGCAAGTGCAGCTCCTATCTCTTTGAATGGGGAAACGGCAAATTCTCCAAAACTGTTGACCAAGCTTACGATTAAATTTCATATTTGAAATCATCAATGAAATCTGACAACAACTGCCTCATAAATGTTGTTTCTTTTGCTCAAATAGTGTTAAAAAAAGCTTATTTTTCGGGCTAGACCAGCCAGTGCGCATGTGCAGTCCTAAGTGTGCGTCTCAGAACACTGACTGTTTCAATAGCAACCGGGACTTTTACGCTAATTTACAGATTAGCGATTGGCTCTTTTATTCAGAAGGCGGGGCTTCCTTAGATAGAGAGGTCATATTGAACGTTGCATTTTTCCCCGTTCAAAACTATACGAGTGACACTTCTTGCATATATTCTATAGTCTTTGGTAACGATGGCGCAGGAGAAGGCAGCAAAATGCGTCGCATTGCTCTCTTCACTTTTATATTTATGTTTTTGAACCGTTGGTTTTGTTTCCAAAGCTTCAGTACATAACAGCACTTACATCTGTCTTACGAACAGTGTTGGGGAAAGTTACTTTTAAAAGTAATGCATTACAATATTGCATTACTCCCTAAAAAAAGTAACTAATTACGTTACTTAGTTACTTTTTATGGAAAGTAATGCGTTATATTACTTTTGCGTTACTTTCGCGTTACTTTTTAAATATAAGCAGGGCTTGATTGTTTTTAATATAAGAAGTTCTATTTATAGCAAATGTAAAAGCCACTTGTAATGAGTTACCCCCAACACTGCTTATGAATGTACCGCTAATGCTATAAAGAACGCTGAAGGCGAATAGAAATGAGATATACAGCTCTCTAATTTCAGCATGTCAGGAAAATGAGTGAAACACACACAAACACACATTTTTATCTCTTCATGCAAATTAATATTTTAAGTAATTTAATAAAAATTATACGTTAATCTTAGATATGAGTTCGTGTGTAGGTAACTTTATTAAGTGTACGAATAGTTCACCCAAATATTTGCTGAAAATTGGCTTGAAATTCAGCTTTACATCACTTACTCACCAATGGATCCTCTGAAGTGAATGGGTGCTGTCAGAATGAGAGTCCAAACAGCTGATAAAAACATCACAATTTTCAAAATCCCTTACCCACGAAGCATGTTTTATTAGAATGTGCAGGTTTCAACTCTGCGAGAAACCTTTATTACTCAGTTAACACTTTTGAAGACATTTTTAACAGTTAAACCAGATATAGTTTTTAGCGAAAAGGTTTAGCAAAAAGCTTTTAGTGAAAATAGATTGTAAAAAAAAATGATATAGTTTTACTGTAAAAATGTCTTGCCATGAAAATAGCCACAGAAACTGGCATATTGTTTAAAAACAAACAAACATCACAATAATCCACATATAATCAACTGGACTCCAGTCCATCAATTAACATCTTGTGAGGCGAAAATCTGTGTTTGTAACAAACAAATTCTTCATTTCTTTTTTTAACTTATAAACATTGATAAAATATGAGTCCTCTGTCCATAATATTGCTTTGTCCAGTGAAAAAGTAAAAGCAGGAAAGAAGAAACAAACTCATCTACATCTTGGATGAACTGAGGGTTAGTAAAATGTCAGCAAGTTTTCATTTTTGGGTGAACAATTCCTTTAGTGAATTAACTCACATTGTGATCTATGATTAAAGTATCAATTTTTATGTAATTATTTAAAATATTTATATTTGTATGCAGAGAACTTGCTTAAATTCAACAGGGTTCAAGTTCACCAGAGGAAAACGAATCACCTTAACTCTGACTTCTTACAAAACATGAGCACCAGCTACAGCAAAATAGTTCAACCCCATGATAAATTCCCTTGATTTGACAAAGCATACATAAATAAATTCTTTAAGTGCAAGGGCCAGTGGGTGTTTACCACTGCCTCAATTTTGATCATGGAACATCTGTATTAGAGATTATGATTCCAAATTGTAATATTTCAAGTAATGTTTGTTTAGGATTGTTTTTAATTTATTAATTGATTATTATTATTTTTAATGGCAACTTTAGGGTTTACATAGAAACAGTATCATAATTACAACTAGTAAGAATAGCAGAATATTAGGGATAGTTCACCCAAAAATGAAAATCCTGTCATTATTTACTCACCCTCAAGTTGTTTCAAACCTGTATAATTTCTTTTTTTTCTTCTGAACACAAAATAATATTTTTTTAAAGAATGTGGATAACCAAACAGTTTCTGGTCCTCATTGACTACCATAGTTTTTTTTTTTTTCATTCTGTGAAAGTCAGTGGGGACCAACAGCTGTTTGGTTACTCACATTCTTCAAAATATCCTCTTATATGTTCAACAGAAGAGAGAAATTCATACAGGTTTGGAACAACTTGAGAGTGATTAATAAAAAATTAAATGATGACAGAATTTTCTTTTTTGTTGGGTGAACTATCCCTTTAATAAATTTAAGATAGCAGTTAGTATTTACAGTGTATCAAAAGATAACTTGCTTTTATCTTCAGAACTGGTGTTAGTAGTGTATATGAAAGAAATTGTCCTTGATATAATGTGTTTGCAGACAAAACCTTCACACATTCCCGAACACATATGCAAACATATCATCAGAGGTTCTTCTCGCACTTGCATCCAGAAATTAAGATAATAACAAGTACAAACTGTGACGTGGTGTTTCTAGCTGTTGCACGTCCACGATAATGTACAACACACATAATTACTGATCCAGTTAACATGTAGTGGAGTCTAGTGTGCAGATGTTTCCAGATATTTATTACCCATCCACACCATGACAGCCATATGATGAAGCCTCTCTTCCAGCCGGTAGAGATGAAAACGTCGGCCCAGCTGACTAGGGAGTGGGGACTGGAGGATGTCGAGCACACATTCACAGAAGAAGATTACCGCACACTAACCAACTACAAAGCCTTCAGCCAGTTCATAAGGTACTGACCTGCACCAGGGGTTTCTTACAGTGGGGACTGGAGGATGTCGATCACACATTCACAGAAGAAGATTACCGCACACTAACCAACTACAAAGCCTTCAGCCAGTTCATAAGGTACTGACCTGCACCAGGGGTTTCTTACATTGTAGTTCCTTTGCAGCAACATTTCTGTATTAAGCATATGATCCTCTGCAGACCCATGATTGCTAAGAAGAACCCCAAAATCCCCATGTCCAAGATGATGACAATTCTGGGGGCCAAATGGCGAGAGTTCAGCTGCAATAATCCATTCAAAGGCTCGGCAGCAGCCATCGCTGCTGCTGCAGCCGCCGCCGCAGCAGCCGTTGCTGAGCAGGTCTCCGCAGCAACAGCCTCCTCTGAACCTCCACCTCAGCCACCACCACTTCGCAAGGCCAAGACCAAAGAGGGCAAAGGTAAGAGGTTACAGAGCATGGGCAGCTGTATGGTTTTCAGTACAGGATTTGTTAATTCGCTTTGTATATAAACACACAGCATCAAAAATGTGTGTTTTTGTAAGATAGATGGCAACTGATGGTGGATTTGATAGTGTTTTTTTTTAATACACTACATATGATAAAGGGGGAAAAAAATTAACTAATAGATATCACCATACATAAACCCATTACAGAACATTAAGACAATTGTTTTGTATTACAAGTCAATTAAATATGCACTACCTAATTAAATATGCACACATTTGCATACAGTTCGAAAACAGAAATGTGAACTTTATGAAATCTGATAAAGCCACATACAGAATTCTTGTTTTCTTCAAAACAATTTCAAAATTCCTGAAAAGTGTACCTAAAATTTGGGTGTAATAAGCTTATTACAACACAAAACTACATGGCTCAAAATCAACAAAATCAATAACTATATTATTTAGTTAGTTTCTTTGTGGAAGGGCCAGTGAATATTTTGCCAAGGCAAGTCAAAATTTGAACCATTGGCCCATCCGGGCCAGTAGAAAGAAATCCTTAAGGCCGGGGACACACCAAGCCACAATATCTGCGTTTATCTCATATATCTTTGTTTCGGTTTCTCCTTTTGAATGACGAATATATACTATTGATAGCTGCTGATATAGACAGTTAAGTCCGCTCACGCATGCACAGAACGCACGTGTTAGTTTGCAGTCGGCTGTAGTCTGTGCAGTCTGTTTGAGCACAGCTTTTTGGTCCGTGTGGCGACAACACCGTCGGCTTTCGTCACCGCTAGTTCTTTGAAGTCGGCTTGGTGTGTCCCGGCCTTTAGAGTTGAGCCCTGCATGCTCCTATCCCATATTTTTACATTAAGGTTGCCTTTGTACTCATTTAAAGTTAATATTTAAAACACTGATTTAATACCGTTTTTAAAATGTAATTTTATACAAATCTCAAAATGTATATTCATAATTTTCTGATGCCTAAATTCACCTAAAAGCACTTTAAACAACTGATTTTAGTTTTTAGTGTTTTATTTTGAATGCATCTAGACAAAATAATGTTTCATTTTAATATGGCCTATTTATTGATTATCCACAGGCGCTGGCTACAAGAAACGTAGCAAGAGTCCTCGTGTCTCAGATAAGAAGAAGCCAAAACCCAAGAAAATGGCTCCTCTGCGCATTAAACTGGGAGCGCTTGGTAACAAGAGGAAGAAGAGTAGTTCGGTGAGAGTTTGTGTGTAATATGTGTGCATATAAATGTGTGTTGGGTGCATTGGTTGTGTTTGATCGTGTGTGGTTGTAATGCAGAGTGAGGAGGTGGATGAGGATGATTCTGAGCAGGAAAACTCTAGCGTTCACAGTTCTTCAGTCCGCTCTGACAGCTCGGGTCGGGTCAAGAAGAACAAAAGAGGTCGCCCAGCGAAGAAGAAGAAAAAGGGTGAGACATTTACTTTTATCATTGTATTGGATTTGTCTGTAAAAAAAAACGTTTTTTTAACCCTTGGATGTTTGAATTATATCAAGAATCAAAAAACTCCTTTTGACATGAAAACAAGACTGTAATCATACACAGTTTTTCACAATTGTTCATTGCAATTAACGTTTCTTGGTTCATCACCATATAATTGTGGGTAAGTACCAAAGATAATCAGCCATAGTGGTTTGGATGCACACCCTTACGGCCTTTATATACTCATGGACCATGGTGAAGTTCTTTGCTTAGGGGTAAAAAGAAGTTTGAATACCTTTGCAGCGTTATACTGTTAGTGAAAATGCTGATGCCGCCCATGTTGCTAAGAGTGACGCTTAGATGAATATGTAAATATGTGCTGTGCACTTTCCTCTCAATAACAAACTAAAAAAACAACAAAAATGACTGTGGTGAGGAAACAGACATTAAAGGGGTCATATGATGCTGCTAAAAAGAACATTATTTTGTGTATTTGGTGTAATGACTGATCATAGCGACATGCATATGTTTGCACCAGCTCTGTAATTTGGTGCTCTAGTCAAGTCAAGTCAAGTTTATTTATATAGCACTTCATACAATAGATTGTTTTAAAATCAAGCGGCTTTGCAGAATTGAAACATAAAAACAGTGTCAGTGTCAGGATGTTCCAATAGGAATTACTACTACAATTTCTACTATAAGGCATCTTTCCTATGTGTTCATGTTTTTACTCACGGATGTGAGAAGATTTTATTGTCAAAGAAGGCAGAGCCCCAGAGCACACCTATCTGTTGCATAATCACCTCTAATCAGTGATAGATAGCCAAAGCAAATTTTTCTAGCAATTTGCTTTGGTAAGCTGTTTCAAAACCTGATTTTGCTCAAAATTATGTCACACCGATTTGTTCTTTGATTTTGTGTGAAGTATATCGGTGCCTTTAATGATTATAAATCGCTTTTAGAATCTTTTGAATGCATTGAAATTATGCATCAGAGGGTTAAAATCTCTCGCTCTGTTTCTCTCTCAGTGCTGGGTGATGAGGATGGCGATGGCTATGAGACTGACCATCAGGACTACTGCGAGGTTTGTCAGCAGGGAGGAGAGATCATTCTGTGTGATACCTGTCCTCGAGCGTACCACCTGGTGTGTCTTGAGCCTGAGCTTGAGAAAGCCCCCGAGGGCAAGTGGAGCTGCCCTCACTGTGTGAGTCACATCCACCCAACCCTACAGAATTACACAGATTTTAAACTGAAACCCGACATCATCTGATACTTTTTCCACATTTTTATATGAGAATCATTAAAAAACATCAAACAAAAAATGTTGGGTAGGATATAGTATGAGATAAATCATAATGTTTTTCAGTTTGTTGTTCCTTCAGATTTTTTTTTCTTCAGATTGAGCTTTCCTAGATTCATTGTAATGAAAGTGAATGTTTTTTTTTCAGGAGAAAGAAGGGATCCAGTGGGAAGCAAAGGAAGAAGACTTTGAGGACTTTGAAGAGGAGTGTGATGATGTCCGGGATGTAGAGGCAGGGCTGGGTGGAGAGGAAGAGGAGGATGATCACATGGAGTTCTGTCGTGTGTGTAAAGATGGAGGAGAGCTGCTGTGCTGTGACTCCTGCCCGTCATCCTATCACATTCACTGCCTGAACCCCCCACTGCCCGAGATCCCCAACGGAGAGTGGCTCTGTCCACGCTGCACTGTGAGTAATGCTCCACCACTGTACTGCCAATTTCATGTCACAGGGCTTAATGTTTATTTCTTTTTGTTGTATTGAAAGTGTCTTGAAAACAGTACCTCCATCATTAATATTTTCTCATTTTCAAGAGTCTTATATGCTATCACGCAGTTTATTGTTTGTCTCATGTCTCAGACCCAAACATTCAATTTTAAACTAAGAAAACTATGATAAAAGAAACACAAACCATTTCAATATTTACTGTGAAATAAATGACTTATGGGACGGCTGACCTGTAGTTGTGGAGTCACCACGACGAACAGTTCTGGCCCTTAAAAAGTTTTTTCAAAAGTTAGCGTACTTGGTTACAATGGAGACCATGGAGCGCATGCTTGAGATGAAATATGAGACATGTGATGTGTGAAGAAAAGAACGAAATTCAAGGTAAATATCACTTGTGAACAGAATATTTTTATTGTCATTTTTAGTCAAGCTGTAATTTTGTTTAATTATGCAAAAATGTGTGAAAATATTATTTTATTATGGGTATTTAGAATACATAAAATGCTAGTGATAAAATTAGATAAGCTGTTTTTTATTTAAAATTAGAAAAATCATCCTGTGTATATGTGTGTATTTATACACACGCATATGTATATATATATATATATATATTTGGGGTCAGTGAGATTTTTAAATAATTTTTTACTTTTATTCAGCAAGGCACATTAAATTAATCAAAAGTGCCAGTAAAACTTACTTTTACGTTCATTGTTTAAAAAAAAATCAGACTATTTATCAAAGAATCCTGAAAAAGCTATAACAGTTTTCACAGAGATATTAAGCAGCACAACTATTTTCAACATTATAATAATAAGAGATGCACCAAATCAGCATATTAGAATGATTTCTGAAGTGTGTGACACTGAATACTTGAATGGCTGCTGAAAATTCAGCTTTGCATCACAGGAATAAATTGCATCTGTATATATAGCTAGCATTTTATGTTTTCTTAATATACAAAATAAAATAATATATTAAGTATATAAATAGAAGGGCTGATTTGAGATGAGCTCAGCTGAGGTGAGTTGAGTTTACTTGTGCTGATTTAGGTTTGGTGCAAAATTATTGTGGTTGGTTTTTGTCTTGAGAGATTGTTTTGAGAGATTGAGTCGAAGTAATTTATTAGGGTGCTTAAGGAAAATAGACATAAACTTGCAATTTTTAATTTGTAATTAATACATTACAAATTAATAAATGATCCGTCTTGTGGAAATATTTAATATGATCTGCAACTTCTGTTGTCTGTTTTTTAGTGTCCACCAATCAAAGGGCGAGTGCAAAAAATTCTGCACTGGCGATGGGGTGATCCCCCACCCCCTGTTCCTGTCCCTCTACCCCCAGACACACCCCCTGATGCACCACTTCCTCCGCCAATGAAGGGTCGTCCAGAGAGAGAGTTCTTTGTAAAGCTAGCAGGACAGTCCTACTGGCACTGTACCTGGATCACAGAGCTACAGGTGCGAGAGTAAGACAGTGTGAGACAGACATAACTGTTAAAGGATGTGCAGACTTTTCCCTTATCCATATCTGTCCTTCCTCAGCTCGAGATCTTCCACTCTGTGATGTTCCGGAACTATCAGAGGAAAACAGACATGGACGAGCCACCCAGTCTGGACTACGGCTCTGGGGGAGAGGAGGATTCTGGGAAGCGTGAGAAGCGGAGGGCCAAAGACCCTCAATATGCCATTCTGGAAGAGAAGTACTACCGATATGGCATCAAGCCTGAGTGGATGATGGTGCACAGAATAATCAATCACAGGTGTGTGTCTTTTGTGTTAAGCTACTACATTATACTGTATATACTAATAATTTGTACTGTCAGAATATTAAATTTTATGCATTTGTGTGTGTGTGCACAGCGTGGATAAAAAGGGCAACTACCACTACCTGGTTAAATGGAGAGATCTGACCTATGACCAGTGCACCTGGGAGAGAGATGAGCTGGACATCCCTGAGTTCGGAGCGCACAAAGCAGCATACTGGAGACACAGGTACAGTTATACATAGATGTTTTAGAAAACTGTCACAAGGGTTTGATTTCTTACAGAATCTTTGTTTTCTAACAACATATGTTGGATGACGGAATAAGCAGTGTTTTGTTCTTTTTTTTCTCACAGGGAGGAAGTGATGAAGGAAGACCCAGAGAAGCCATACAGTTATACATAGATGTTTTAGAAAACTGTCACAAGGGTTTTATTTCTTACAGAATCTTTGTTTTCTAACAACATATGTTGGATGACGGAATAAGCAGTGTTTTGTTCTTTTTTTTCTCACAGGGAGGAAGTGATGAAGGAAGACCCAGAGAAGCCAAGGAAGATGAAGAGGAGAGAGGAGAATGATGACGCTCCAAGCACACCTGTTAATGATGTTAGTGTCACCCCTGTCTTTTATTCCAGTGGTTCTGGAATAATATTTTAAGGCCAAGTAACATTTTTATTCAAATCTGTGGTTAAGTCAAACAAGTACAGCCTAGTCCAGAGGTTTTCAAACTTGTCCTGGAGGCCCCCCAGCACTGCACATTTTGTATGTCTCCCTGATCAGACACAACCCCGTCAGGTCTTGTAGTGTTTACTAATGAGCTGATGAGTTGAATCAGGTGTGTTAGATAAGGGAGACATACAAAATGTGCAGGGCTGGGGGGCCTCCAGGACAGGTTTTAAAACCCCTGATCAGAACAGTGTTCCCCATGTTTTTTAGCAGCTGGTAGTTTCTTTAAACGTAATGTATAATGTAATTTTTTTAATAATATTGGTAATATCCAGTAGTTAAGATAAATCATGCTGCTGCTAGACCAGTGCTTCTCAACCAGGGTATGATGAAGTGTTTCATTTAATAAATTATTAATATTAATATAATATTTTAGTAAATACAATTACTATCAATTAAACTCTAACTCTAATTTAACTTAAAATAAAATAAAAAAACTCATCAAATCATAATTTGAACTGAAATCATATTTCTTTTCCCCCTTAATAACTATTGCTTTTATTGACGAATGTAGTTGGAATCACAAAATGAATTGTGGTTGATACGTTTAACATATCAGTTCTTATAGTTTTTTCATGATTACAGCTGCAATACCAGAAATATCTTATACCAAATGGGGGACGGGAGGCCTGTAAATCAGAAAGGCTCCAGGGTCTGTTGCAGGAAAAAAGAAGCATGTAAAAAGAAACATACAACAAAATGATCATATTTAGAATCACACTGTCACAATGTAGCACATTAATTCGCTAATTCTGCAGTTCAGTTCAAACTTATGAAAACAAGTATCTAGTTGCTTACATAATTTGAGGCCAAACATAACAATAACTCACCTTTTGTTGATCACTTCAGTTGTCTGCTGCTTTCTTTTCAGTGTTGGGAACACATTGTGGCATGCAGTGCTGTGCCTGTGCGAAGCTATATTAAAATGATAAAGAGGTTGAGAAAAAATACATTTAAAATACCAAATGGAATAAAATGTTGATATTATTTTGTATGGTAATCTAATTACATTTTAAAACAGGGGTGGCCAATGCCTGGAAGTTTCCAGTAAACCTAAAGATTCTGATTAGCTGGTTCAGGTGTGTTTCATTAGAGTTGGAGCTAAACGCTGGCCTTCCAGGAGCAGGATTGGGCACCCCTGTTTTAAAACTATTGATTTGTGTAGCATACCACTTTTTTATGTTGTTGATTCATTTTATCCAATATTCTTTATCTGACTATATTTGTTTTCTTGTACTGTCTATCTACCTGTCAGTAGCCCACAAAATTGGGTGGATTTCTTTCCTAATAACTTTTTTCTGCTCTCTGCCATCTATTTTAACCTTCTCCGATGTTAGATTTTTTTGTCACATCTGCTTTCTAGTCCTCAGTGCATTCAAGCTTTTAAGGCATATAGGACCACCTTTCTCTCAGTCTTTTTTCACCAGTTCTCTCCCCTTTTTTTTTCCTTCAGCCGACAATCAAGTATGAGGAGCAGCCAGACTTTGTGACAGAGACAGGAGGAACGATGCATCTCTATCAGCTGGAGGGGCTGAACTGGCTGCGGTTCTCCTGGGCTCAGGGAACAGACACCATCCTGGCTGATGAAATGGGCTTGGGCAAGACCATCCAGACTATTGTTTTCCTCTACTCACTCTTTAAAGAGGTCTGTGAGGGTCAGGTTACAAAAGTGTATGTTAATTGACAAGTAATCTTTTGAACTTCACATTGCATTTGTGTCTCCCATTGTGTTCCTCTCTGTGACAAGTAATCTTTTGAACTTCACATTGCATTTGTGTCTCCCATTGTGTTCCTCTCTGTCCATCCTTCCATATCTCTCTGTCCATTTCTCTCTCCAGGGACACACTAAAGGTCCATTCCTGGTGAGCGCACCACTGTCCACAATCATTAACTGGGAGAGAGAATTTGAGATGTGGGCTCCTGACTTCTATATTGTCACTTACACCGGAGACAAGGACAGCCGGGCCATCATCCGTGAGAACGAGTTTACCTTTGACGACACGCCGATGAAGGGAGGAAAGAAAGCCTTCAAATTACGGGTGAGAAGGAGAGGAGATGAGCGCTGGAAGGGAAAGAATGACTGCTGATTGGAGAGGTGAAATGCAAAGATGGAAAATGTGAGAAGTAAAATAAAAAATGGCAGAAGGAGAGGAGCCGTAGTATGAGAGAAGAGGGAAAGGATGTCATTTGGTGCTGTAGGAATAAGTGACTTTACTCTAACCATTATTTTCATTTTCTACCCATCGTCCCTCTAGAGAGAAGCTCCCATTAAGTTCCACGTGTTGTTGACATCCTATGAGCTTGTGACCATAGACCAGAATGTTCTCAAGTCCATTGACTGGGCCTGTCTTGTAGTAGATGAAGCCCACCGCCTCAAAAACAACCAGTCCAAGGTACACTGACTTAGTTGGGTTTTCCTGTTTTTTGTCCAAGTTTTGTTTGGTTTGCGAGAGTGTGTGTTTGCGAGATTCATTCTAATTTAATACAGGACAGGAAATTACATCTTGGATTCTTTGCAACACTGTAGACTGAAGATGACAGAAATAAACCAGCACTTTAAACCATCATAATAAAGCTATTACAAGTCATTATCTAAGTTAAGAAAGCCATAGAGGGGGAAAAAATATAGATCAGTGTGTCTAATACTGTGAGTTTTTTGTAGTTTTACTTTTTTTGTATGTAATGTGTCTGCAGGTAACTGAAGAAACATTATATAGTGTGTAGTGTAATTGTCTTAGCACACATTTATTTGCATTTATTTATTTGCATTTGATTAAAACCGTAATACAGTAAAACTATTTGAATGATGTAACTGTTTTGTATATTTTATAATAGTTTTTGACGACAAAGCTGAATTTTCAGCAGCCATTGCTCCAGGCTACAGTGTCACATGATCCCTTAGAAATCATTCCAATGTGCTGATTTGTTGCTTAAGTAATATTTTGTATTATCAATGTTGAAAACAGTTGTGCTACTCACTAGTTTTGTGAAAACCTTTATTCAAATTGAATTCTTGCTGAAAACCAATATTAATTCCTTTTAAAAAATCTTACTGACCCCAAAGTTTTGAACGGTAGTGTGTATGCACTAGAAGTGGTAGGATGATCCATATTAGAATAATAGAAGAATAATCTACACTTACAGAAATTACATTTTGAAATAACACATTCATTACTAATTTTACTCCTATTCAGAAACTTCATGCAAAAAGGTGCAAAGTAGTTTGTGATTGGCAAGTGCTGCACATCGTGGTTTCATATAGGGATGTGCCCAAAATCTAAATCCGAATTCGGAAAGGCACGGAAAATGAGTAACGCATTCTACGGAGCCCCTTGAGGGACATGGTTAGGCTTGGTTAGTAAAGCACCTTGTATATTTCCAATTAAGTGAAAAAATTAAAGACAGTTGTTTTGGTTTGTTAGTTCTTCAGGAGACTGAATGACTACAAGATAGACCATAAGCTGCTGCTAACAGGAACTCCACTCCAGAACAACCTGGAAGAACTTTTCCACTTGCTCAACTTCCTGACGCCCAACCGCTTCAAGTATGACCATACTCATAAAAGCACATTTATATTCTCTAACAGACTATAAAAGTGGCCTAAAAAGTACTTGGACGTATTATGTTATATCATGCAATGATATACATTTTTAGTGTGGCTGAAGTGTCCAGATACTTTTTGAGGCCACTGTATGTACACATCAACACAGACATGTTTTAATACTCAAAATAATTTTACTGCATCGCTTTATTTCTGTCCCTCAGTAATCTAGAGGGTTTTCTAGAGGAGTTTGCGGACATCTCTAAAGAGGACCAGATTAAGAAACTGCACGACCTGCTTGGCCCACACATGCTCCGGAGACTCAAAGCTGATGTGTTTAAGAACATGCCAGCCAAAACTGAGCTGATCGTCCGAGTGGAGCTCAGCCCCATGCAGAAGTAAGTCCTACAACATTGATTTCATAATCAAAATGTGTTGACGTGTTTATTATCAAGGTAATTAGCAATAGGAAGTAATAAAAATATTTCATTTGTTTAAATACATTTCTTACTATGCGTGCTAGTCTTTTTTCATGTTTTGTGTGCACACTGTATAAACAGAAAGTACTACAAGTTCATTCTGACGCGTAATTTCGAGGCGCTGAATTCTAAAGGAGGAGGGAACCAGGTGTCTCTGCTCAACATTATGATGGATCTAAAAAAGTGCTGCAACCACCCCTACCTCTTCCCCGTCGCTTCTGCCGTAAGAATACACACTGTATTTCTGACAGCAACAAAAAAACTTTATAATTTGGATGGAGTTTTCACTCTTCTTGGTCCTATCTTAGATTGGTGCAAAATTGATTTATGTAGTGTGAAATGTCACCTGCTGTCAGAAATTTTTATTTGAATGCTGTCGAAATGTTTAAGATAATAGTTAATATGTTTAAGATAATAGTTAATAGTTGGGTTTAGTGTTTGACGGGTTTTTGTTGTGCACGTGTATCATAGGCTGTATTCTTGTGTTACAGGAAGCTCCCAAAACACCAAGTGGAGCGTATGAAGGTGCGGGTCTCACTAAGGCTTCTGGGAAACTCATGCTGCTGCAGAAAATGCTCAGAAAACTGAAAGAGCAAGGCCACCGAGTGCTAGTGTTCTCTCAGGTACAAACACACATCTAAATACTTTCACTCAGCCTGTATTTTATACATAAGAAGCTGTACTGTATTTGCTATTACATGAGCTCCCAAATTGTGAATGTTTAGTGCCCCCAGGTGGTGCACAGCACAAATTTGGACATGTGAAAATATTACAACTTATAAAGGGTTTTAAATAGTGTTTAGGTTTTTGAATAATTTCTGCTCTATTTTCCAATTAAACACCTTTGTGTTTCTAATCATTACAGTGTAATGTGGAGCTCATGACAGGCTAGGTGTTACTTGGATGGTCTAGTTTGATCAGATGTACTTGGTCTGAAAATTTTGATTTCATCATGTCTTACTAGATCTTATTCATACTTACACACTCTGTTTCCCCCTCAGATGACCAAGATGCTGGATTTGCTGGAGGATTTCCTGGATTATGAGGGTTATAAATATGAGCGAATTGATGGAGGCATCACTGGAGCTCTCCGACAGGAAGCTATCGACAGATTTAATGGTAAGAGCAGCCCACCAGGTATACATATTTTGTACATAAATTAACTGAGTAATATTTCTGTTGGGTTGGATACAGCTAGAGAATTAGCTAGAGCAGTATATTATAACATTGGTATAAAGTATATTATAACATTGGTGACTAGGTGGTACTTAGTTGATCTAAAATTAGCAAAGGTGGTCTGGTCTGAAATGTTTGAGAACCACTGAGCCAGAGGTTTGGTTTTAATAGCTATTCAGATGTCGTGACAGTCATTTTTTCTCTCTACTCTCTCATCCCAGTCCAAATGTTGATGACTAATGTGAATTTATAGAGAGATTTTTCTTTGTTTGTAAGACTCATTCCATTCTTGGAGCTATTGAGTCAGTTGTTTTCAGATGTGGAGAAAAGTTTATTCCAAATTCTGAATGTCTTCATCATGAAATGGCAGTTGATTTATTTTATTCTTGGGTAAGCAGACCTTGCCATTTACAAGGGCAAAATTACTTGAGAACAGACATGGTTGGGATGTTATATCTCTGTTTAAAGCATTTATAAAGTCTGGAATCATTGTTGAATTTAAATGTTACAAAGTTTTGAAACATCTGAACAACAGTGGTGCCATAATTATAACTTTTTTATTGTGTTGGTGGGAGAATTTATTTTGTTGTTTTGTGGTGTTGAAATCTCATTTTATTGAGATTTTAATCATTGTGTTATTTGTTATGATGCCATGATGACTTTTTGGGTGGCCAAAATGTATGATGAAATCTTATATCACACAGTAAGTAATTTAATATAAGTCTGGATTTGAAAAATTCCTTAAATTGACAGCAGTCGCACCCCTTTTTACCACCAAGTTCGTCCTCATCTTGACTTGTTTGGGACAAATCCCGTATGTTTATTCATCACTGTCATATGTATATAGTATCATCCTGCTCACTGATAGCCACATAGATATTTATTTATTTAGTCATTTAGCAGACGCTTTTATCCAAAGCGACTTACAAATGAGGACAATAAAAGCAGCCAAAACTAACAAAAGAGCAACAATATATAAGTGCAAATGACAAGTCTCGGTTAGCCTAACACAGTACACATAGCAAGGTGTATATATATATATATACAGTGGGTACGGAAAGTATTCAGACCCCCTTAAATTTTTCACTCTTTGTTAATCTTCCTAATGTTGTATAAAGCAAATCTACAGGACCGGGCAGTTTATATTTATACATATATAAATATGTTATATATATCATTATATATCATTCATTATATATACATATATAATATTTATATATTTATAGATATATTTACGTAATGGTATTTACAATTTATGATAAACCATATTAACAGCTTAGCAAAATCTCTACTGGTTGTTACCCCATAATGAGTAAATAATGATTGTTAAAATTCTAAATCAGATCCCTTTCTCTTTCTGTCTCACAGCTCCTGGTGCGTGTCAGTTTTGTTTTCTTCTCTCTACACGAGCGGGCGGTCTGGGAATCAACTTGGCCACTGCGGACACAGTCATCATCTTTGACTCTGACTGGAATCCCCACAATGATATACAGGTAAATATAAAAATGAGGAGTGTCTCATACAGTTCAAACCAGCGCTCACAGAAAATCCCTCTACTTTTGTGACACTTGACAGGTTTGTTCTGGTGTTTTCTTTGTCATGTGTTTTGCCACCTAGTGGACAGTTTTAGAACAGACTCATGAAACTTAGGGTGCTTTCACACCTGGCCTGTTGTTTTCGGAACCTGGCGCGTTTCCCCCCTTAGCTCGGTTCATTTGGGCATATGTGAACACGGCAATCGTGCTCGGATCTGCGCCAAAACAATCGGTCCGAGATCACCTGAACGAGGTGGTCTCGGCTCGATTGAAAACGAACTCTGGAGCGGTCCGGTTGTAGTGAGAAAGCAATCCGATCTAACGGACCAACGAACCAAGCTATATCACAATGTATACCATGTTTTGGAACAAAGCAATCGATCTACAGGTGTGATAGCACCCTTAAATTCCCTTTTAGTCGGTCACTTCGACGTTGTGTCGAAGTTCCAACACTAGGGGTTGCACTTGGGATCCCAGACACCTCTGACATCGTTGAGAAAAGGCCAAAGAAATTGCTGAGCAAAATTTGCATAGCTGGCCATGCCCCGAATATCCGGGTGTAAATAGGCGAGTGTGGCATTTGCTTACTCGTTCTGTTCTTCTGAGCCGATGCAGCGTCTCTCTCTGTGGTGTGGCACATCATTCACCTTTCTTACTCCTCGTCATTGGATCTATGGCACGGGCAGTGGTCTCTCCCTTCCTCACACACAGATAACTGTAGTGAAAGTACCCTTGGGTGCTTCAACTGTGAGCTTTAACTGGTGATCTGACTGGCATGATCACTGTGTTCAGTGTTTGGGCCGTGCCCACACTAAAGCAGCTCCCGTATATGGGTTATGTGAGGACATGCCCATAGACATGTTGCAGTCTCTACTCGCGTTCTTTTCTAAAAGACAGCGAGTCACCTCAACTGCTGCCCATCCAGGTTCTTCTACTTCCAGGTAAGAGGTCTCCGTGATGTGTGTTGAGGAAGAGCAAGGAGGCCTCATGAGAGTAGCTTTGCCGGGTGAATCTCTGCAAACCTCTCGTTCCTCCCACAGTGCAAGTCTTCTGGTAGAGTTACCGGATGAGTTTGAGAGCTCATCTCAGCGTGAGTTTGATTTCTCATTCGGGGCTCGTGAGGAGGATGAGCTGTCGATTGCAGCATTGGAGAGCGGGCTGGAACCATCAGAAGCTGATGACTCAGCTTGAGCTGCACCTCCAGGTGCTTCATTTCATTCTGAGGCTAACACTGAGATGGCAGCTGAGAGCATCGGGCTTGAGTAGACTTCTCCACCCTGTCCCGGACGATCTTGGCTGGATGATTGGTTCATGGGGTCAGAGCGAGACACAGCCTTTTTTTTCCCAGAAGTGCATGAGGAGCTGACGAAATCGTGGAAGGCACCTTTTTCTGCCAGAACACAGTACACAGCTCCTTCGTTCTCACCACCCTCGATGGTGGTCCAGCGTGGGGGTATACAGAGGTCCCCCGGGTGGAGAGAGCGATTGCGGTGCATCTGTGCCCACAAAACACCGCCACCTGGTGGGGCCGCCCGAGAGTTTCGTCCAAGGCGTGTAGTTCACACCGAAATCGTGGAAGGCACCTTTTTCTGCCAGAAAACGGTACACGGCTCCTCTGTTCTCACCACCCTCGATGGTGGTCCAGCGTGGGGGTATACAAGAGGTCCCCCGGGTGGAGAGAGTGATTTGCAGTGCATCTGTGCCCACAAAACGCTGCCACCTGGTGGGGCTACCTGAGACTCCCGTCCAAGGCGTGCCATGGCTATCCTGCAGGTCTGTCAATTCAAAGTGTTAAAAGATCTTCCCAGGTTGGTCTCTTTGGGGATAGCTGTCCAGGATTTTGCCCATCAATTCTCGACAGTTAAGACAGTTAAGAACCAGGTACTGTGTTTTGTTGTTCTCCCCCCTAGGTGTCGTTTATGCCACAACTCTGAATTGCCACTGAGTGGGTTGAGACACTTTCTAGACTCCTCAGAACAATACGAGTGAGCAAATACCACACTGGTCTATTTATACCCAGATATCCAGGGTGTGGTCAGCTATGCAAATTTGCTCACCAAATTCATTGGCCTTTTCTCAATGATGTCAGAGGTGTCTGGGCTCACAAGTGCGGCCCTTAGTGTTGGAAGTTCGACACAATGTCTTCTCTTCCTCCATCAGGGAACGAGGGTTACCATATGTAACTGAGACAATGGCATCTGTGAGGTTTCAAAGCTAAACATATTTTAGGAAGCTCAATGTAGCAGTTTCTACATCATTTTGAATCTTATCTCTTTTTCTCTCAGGCCTTCAGCCGAGCTCACCGTATTGGTCAGGCCAATAAGGTGATGATATATCGGTTTGTGACACGGGCCTCGGTGGAGGAACGAATCACTCAGGTGGCCAAAAGGAAGATGATGCTTACACACCTGGTGGTGCGGCCCGGTCTGGGATCAAAAGCCGGATCCATGTCTAAACAAGAGTTGGATGACATCCTCAAGTTTGGCACGGAGGAGCTTTTCAAGGATGAGATTGAGGGTGGGATTGATAAGTTAAATTGATTGATGTGTAGAAATAAATGAACCAGCAAATCATTTGATAATTTTGTCAAATAATAAATATATTTGTTTAAATGTTATGAAAATCACTTGCTCTGTAACCAATAATTGTGCCCAAAGTGTAACACTGTTACACTATGTAACACTTTGTTATGCTGAAGGTTCACCAATTTCTATCTTTTTTACAGCAGGGGACAATAAAGATGATGACAGCAGCGTAATTCACTACGACAATGTTGCTATCGAGCGTTTGCTAGACCGCAGCCAGGATGCCACAGATGACTCTGACATGCAGAACATGAACGAGTATCTGAGCTCCTTCAAGGTGGCCCAGTACACTGTCAAAGAAGATGACAAGGTGGGAGACGTTTTTGAGGAGTATCCAAGAGTGGGACCTTTAAGGAATTTGAAAGATGACATTCAGTCGCCTCACTAATATTTCAACAATAATTCTGAAAAAATGAGCCATAAAGCATGTTTTGATTTAACATCTCACAATCTAACATCTATCTGAAGTATGTACCACTTATATCTCTAACTTTCCCTGCTAGAGGATTTTTTTTCCAGATACATGTAATTTTTGTAATATTTTATCTCAGATGTTTCTCCTAAAATTCAAGAGATATGTAAATAGATATAAAATCGATATACACTACCATTCACAAGTTTGGGGTCAGTAGGTTTTTTTTTTTTAAGAAATAGATTTTTTTATTTAGAAAGGATGCTTTAAAATCAAAAGTGATGGTAGATAGATACATTTATATTGTTGCAAAATATTTATAATATAAATACTGTTCTTTTGAACTTTATACAAAATTATTCAGCTGCACAGCTGTTTTCAGCATTGATAATAAGAAATATTTCTTGTGTACCATATTAGCATATGTATAAAGTATGTCAGTGATGTCTAAAGGATCATGTGACACTGGAGACTGGAGTAATGGCTGCAGAAAATTCAGCTTTGCCATCACAGGAATAAATTACAGTATATTTTAAAATGTTAAAATATAAAACAGTTGTTATAAATTGTAATAATATTTAACAGTACTACTGTTTTTACTGCATTTTTAATCAAATATATTGAGCCTTGGTGAGCATAAGAGACATAAAAATTAGTACTGACCACAAACCTTTGGACGGTAGTGCAAAATAGACACAAACATTTTTGACATACAGTAAGAGTATAGAGCTATAAAAGTAACATGGATAGCATGTCTCCGATAGTTTAGTCTTGCAAGAATGTGATTAGAAATGTTTCAGTTATATTTATATTTATATATAGATCTTTTCTGAAACTCTAGAGCAGTGGTTCTCAAACGTTTTACACCAAGTACCACCTCAGACAATATTTGGCTCTCCAAGTACCACCATAATGACCAACATTAAAATACAGTAGCGTAGTAGGCCTAATTATTCAGCTACAGCTATGCACAGTTAAAAAATTAGGCAGTTTTATTCCTAATAAGAATATTTATTATTGTCTGCCACTTTAAACATTGTAAATACAGTTTGAAAATTAACACTGCACTGTGCTTACATACAGGTAAATAAAAAAACTTAAATGATTAAATTAAAATGTACTGTACCTAAAAGTTAAATAAAAACTGCACTGTACTTGCATGTCAAAAAAACCCTACTCAAATAAAGATTAAATTAAAAAAAACAAACAGCTTTGTTTGTGGATAAGTCATTTCATTATGTCAAGACTGATTTGTAAAATGCCAAGATCTGATTTATAAACAGTGACTCCTATGAACCAGTTCTATATCAAAAACATGAGGTGCAACAAATGTAGGGTGCTTCTCAAACGGAAGACTGCTTTCTAGTGAGGATGCGTCGTTCCTAGACCAGTCCTTCTGAGGCTTCAAGACCTGAGTCCTTCTCAGCATTAAACGCTAGAATGAATTATTATAACTATTATAACAATAATTTGAAGAATATTTTATGTTGACCATTTTTATATTATCTGACTTTCTATTAATGCAGTGCAGGTAAAGAGACCGTCTTTGGTCTCCTCAGTTTAGCATTATGGGATTCATTTACAACCAAACACAAGAAAGCATAATGCCTTCACCCCAAA